TTCTTTTTTCTCTGCATTCTTGTGAATAATTTTTTGTTTCTATCCTTTTTATATACGCCAGTCTCATAGGAATGAGATATCTCATTGTAACACATTAGATTTGTATTGAAACCACCAATCACACTTGATATTAGCATCAGTTTCAAAATAAAATTAGGGACTCCCTGGTGGTGCAAGGGGTTAAGACACAACCTATGAAGCTATCACCAGCCACTGCAGCACCACCTCAATCCCCAGCCTGGGAGCTGACCCACATGGCACAGCAAACCTCTCCTGACTCACCCGCTGCTCCCCTCAGCAGTGTACTTCAGTCAATCTGCCTGTTCTGTTCCCTGCTCTGTCTCTGGTAAATCCCCTCACCCCACCCCACCCCACCTCCCGGCATCTCAGGCCTGTACCCCAGCTTATGCATAAATAATCTTTAAAAAATAATTTGGTTAAATAATTTGGAGAATAAATGGAGAAAAATAATAGCTAATTAAGTCGGAACGGTGGTTTCAATACATAATGTAGGCCTAGGACCATAAGAATCAAGTGAAGATTCTTCTTTAAGATAACACCGGTAGCATCATTAGCTTGGCATCAAGAGAGTCACATTAGCAGAGCTGTCAATGCCAAATTATCCAGCAAGGATAGGAAGTTCAATTTCTTCCTTTCTTTCTTCTCCACTTGATTTAGATGCTCCAATAAAAGGCAACAGCACTCAATTCCTTGAAAACACTGATGAGTCCAGATACCTATAGTCTTGCCAGAACTGCCTCTTCTCCTGGAATTTATTGAGTCATTAAAGAATGGCATCTGCCCATTATTTACCAGGTGTTCTTATATTGCTAGAGATGCAGCCATAGCTGGAGCTTCCTGCTTTGCAGGAGGCAGAGAACATACAAGGTGACCCTGAAAATGGAAATACCCAGCATGCTTTGCAAGTGCATATAAGGAGCATCTCACTTAAACTTTAGCGTGGGGAGGCAGAGAAAGCATGTGAGCAGAGGTCACACATGGGTTTGTTTGCCTGGCAAAATAAAAATTTCCACAACTGACCCAAGTTTCATCCTTTATAAAAAATATATCTACCCCCATTTATCTGGCAGAAGTCTTGCCTGGCTGTGCCATGGATGGGCCTTGTAATTATTGTTTCTCACTCCATAGTATTTTGTAGCATGCAGTCTTTGTGAAAGTTACATTTGTTACATTTGCTTTTATTGGTACTGTGCCACAGTACCAGAGTGGACTGGTCTTCAATTTGTATTCTCAGCCTGGAATGCCATGTCCCAAGCAGAACGCATTTAGCTAGCCCCTGAATCTCTAGTGACTGAAATGGCCCAGCCTGCCTTCAGAAGACTAGACTGATGAGAATTCTAGTTCAATCTCTCTCCTTAGTCATTTCTCTTTGAGAATCTTAACCTTTTTCTTGAAAGTCTCCTCTGAATCCAGGCTTGTTGTCCAAGCCTTGGCACCTGCCATATTCAATGCAATTTTGGCCAAGAGAGAAATTCACAGTGTTGTCTTTTGTTCATCTTCCAAGAACTGCTGCTTAGTTCTTATTCTCAAAATAATGCCCTTATTTTCTTGAAAACTTCCAATGCACTTCTTTCAGACACTTTAGATTTTTTTAATGGGGAAATTATAGAACATGAGTCTCAATATCAATAGAAAATACTAACAACTGAAGTGCTGAATTGGAATCTCATGCTCCATAGTACAGGGAGAGTTCCTAATTGAAATGAAATGACCATTACTTAAATTGAGCAGCATGGAAACATATTTCTCAGTATTTATGATTCATCATAAGACTTGTGACATCAATAAATGGCTTAAAAAACATAATCAGCCCCAATTTAGTATTAAAAAAACTCAGTTTTTCTTAAGGCTGTCTAGTATTTATCTGATCTCATTCCTTTACTATATGATTCTTACTAAAACGTGCAAAAGTAAAATTCTTAAAAAGTTAAAAATAGGACTCTTGTGGCAATATAGAATAAACATGTTTCAAGGATGTATTTAACTCATTAGTGAGAGGGTCACCTGGCTAAGACTCAGTGTCAGATTATTTGAGGAAAGTCAAACTGAAACACATTTAGTAAGTTAAAAACAGACCTCTTTAGTGTCCTCAGAGCAACAAGAATCATACATTTATCTATTAGACCCATAAATTATTTAAATCTGTAGAAGTAAATCTGGAAGCTAGCATGTCACTTTACCAAAGTTCAAACCAAGCAAACGCCAAATAATATAAAGGTACAGTCCTCCAAGAAATGAGAGAATTCCTGGTGTTATAGGGCAACCCCAATATGAAATGGGTTGCCTGACTGTGGGGCCTCATCTGCATGCTTAAAAGGGACTCATAATGAGACTCAAATGCAGGCTCACACAAAAAGGTAATAAAGGGTTTATTTACATAAAGGGGAAAGGAAGAAATTAATAATTCAGGAAGAAAGAGAGATAAATTGGTGAATGTGTCCTACCAGTTCTGCTGAACTGGGACTCCAATAGCATGCTGAAAGCAATCAAAAAAAGAACAACCACCCCCCCTCCAAGGCCCAAATGTCTGGTTATATATAAAACCTGGCTGCTTAACTCCACCCTCAGTTCCCAGCAACCCTCCCTTCGGTGGTGATGACCTTATGAGATTTGTAGTCCTTGGTGTCTCGGATCTCTTTGTTCTGGGGTGGGGGTGGGGCCCATAAAGCCTATTTGTGGGGTTTGTTCAGGATATCCTCTCCCTCAACACTGCTTGAATCTTGTAAGCAATGGTTGTGTGTGATATTCAAAGGCTATCCTGTCATTATTTTGCCTTACTGGCTAGAATTGGACCTGTTTTCTTTTCTTTAATAACATAAGATGTAGAGAGCTGGGACTTGATTATTCCTGGCCACTCTACTTCTATATCCAGTGCATAGGAGAGTGACTGACACATGTAGGTGCTTGAAAAATAGGATGAAACAATAAAACAATGGCACATCCTATTGCCTATGCAACTTTTCATATAATAGCCTAAAACAGGAATCACCACTCCACTGAGCATGAAAACTTCTTCAATATAAAATATTTGGTAATGCCCTATGGAATATTCTGAAATGAAAGTCAAATATCATATAAAATAATCCTTTGGAAATGTCATTATCACAATCTATTTATGAAATAAAGGAAACTTTAGAGGAAATAATTTATTTAAAATCATGTGCTTTATTATGTAGTCAAGTAGAAGCATCTATAGCACAAGATGTAACAATTAGTCATATACTTGCTTTGTATATGGATTCACTGAAAATAAGACAGTTACAAGGAAGATGCATACAGATCTTAGAGTTGTGATTCAAATCCCATGACTTCCCGCCATTGCCATGGATGACATGATATTTGAAAATAATGAAAAACTCAGTTTAAAAAACAAACAAAACAAGCTTCAACTTTCCCTTGATCTGGTGGTGACTGCATTTGTTACATTTCTGATGCATTTCTGCATCAATATGCACTGGAAAAAATTACTTTGGATGGAAATATAGAAATAGAGTAGGGTTCTGTGGTCATTGTCATAAATAGGTTTTCAGCTGTTAATGGAAAGATCTCTAGGAAGTTACTTAAGATGCAGGAAGGTGCATCCTGGTGCAGGATCCATCACCTCTGGCTTGTACAGATGTCTATGGGATGTCATTGATTAAATGCCAGTGTAGTTCCCACTCCTTGTAGCTGCCAAATTCCACTCTTCCACACACACTCACACATTTTCAAAATGCTCAGGACCACTGATTAAGGCACTCCAACCCACTTTTAAAGGCCCACTTTGATCCTTGTAACTTGGTGAATACTTGCCAATAATTCTTGTGAATGTTGCTGTCATTTTTGCAATTTTTGACAGCTTTTTAACACTATGCACACAGTATACTGATTGAGAGAGTGTGCTCTGTAATCTCCTTGTCTCTATCTCAGATGCTTGTGTGCCCTTGGGCAATTCACCAAACCTCTTTGTAAAAAGTGAAACAAATCAGTACCAATCTCTATGGGAGATGAGAAAATTCATGTTAATCACAAGATTGAATATATTAGCTCTCTTACTACATACTAGCTATTTTTGCTTATTAATAATAGTCCATGCCTTAAATATGTACTACTGTACATAGATAGATCATCCTGTTTTTTTTAAATAAATAGCAAATTTCTTGAAGTCAGAGCATTTCAGCAATGGTGGGTAAACTGTTGACAACTGAAACATATTTGTTTGTTAATTATGTGTATTCAGGGTGAGTCATTGCAGAAATAAAGTATTTGTATAACAAAACCCTTGAAAATGTCAGAATTGGAACTGCAAATCATAGTACAAATATTCCCACAAAAGAATTACTAGCTCAAAGAAGATGCTCAAAAGCAAAGGACACTAAAAACATTTTTCTTGTGTTTCAGAATGCCTTTAACAAATCATCGAGTTGCTCTCTAGTCTCAACTTTCCCACCACCAAGTAAAGGTATAGCACCTGCTCCTTCCTTCTCTTTTGGGAATGTTGTTATGTTAGAAATGTGTATACAGCCTTTGTCCTGCAGGCTACAGCCCAATTATCTGCCTTCATTAAAATGTCTCAGCTGTGGGTTTTCTCTGCTAGAGGATGGTGCCTCTGTCTCCTTTTTCTTAACCACTAAACAAAACAAAATATTCATTACCATATGGTATGGTTGAGCAGGATTACATAAAGCTTCAAGTGTTCCCCCACCATCAGCTTTTATGAATACTATAAAAAAGTTCAGAAGAATACACTGCATCAGATGGCAGAAAGCCCTCTGTTTTATTTTCTCATTGTTCATGGTGAAACATTAACTTTTGAATAAACAGTGGAAGAATCTGATCCAAGAAAGGAATGGTTTTCCATCTCTGCAATTCAATTAATAATTCAATGCCAGTTGCTACCAATGTCTAATTTGTTTTTGTAAGATGATTCATAGTTGTTTAGAGCTAAAGGAGGTTTTAAATTGAATTTAACTAAATCCAACAAACTTAAGGTAGCTTACCATGTTGCAAAATGTGGCTTCAAGGCCACACTGCTTCCAGCTGAAATCTTGACCTATTAACTGGATGACTCTCCATCACAGTTGGTCATACTCAGGTTCTTTCTGAAAGATGGCGATGAAGATAAGGTCAACCTCATGCATTATTTTGAGTCTTAAGGATCATCAGTAATGTGGTGATTATATGGTTTAAGATTGTACCTATCTGTGTGTGTGTCATAGCCAGGCTCTTAGTCAAGGGTTACAGGTGGTTCTTTGTGGAGGGGCTTGTCTGGAGCAAGGCAGGATGTTAAGTAATATCCCTAGCCTCTACCCATCACAACCCAGCAGAACCTCCTACTTGTAAACCAAAATGTCACCATCTATTAACAAATTTCCCCCAGGGGGGAATTACCCCCTCTTGAGAACCACTGTTTTATATTATAATAGATTTTATGGGGAGGGTGTGGCACAATTATGAAATGACTTAGTTCCTGAAGACCAGAAGCTTGTAGTTAATGGGGAGAGAATCTTCTAAAGCATAGAACTTGAACTGAAATTCATCAGAGTTCAAATTGAGGTTCTGAACAATAGTTGACTCAAGTTGCCACCTTTTCTCCTCTGTAAATTGTAAATAAAATTAGAAGTTAGCAGATAGTTCAGGATCTTTGGCTAGTAGTCAAATAAAATGCACAAAATTAATAAATTTCTTATTTTACAATTTTAAATTATAATGGATAAAACACCTAAATCAGAATAGATGTAAATATATAAACCAGCTAGGAATAAAAATTAACACAATAAAAATAACTCAAATTCAAACTCTACAGAATAATTACTAGGAATATAAATAAGGAAACTAATATAGGCATCAAGATTTTGTAAAACTGTTCAGAGTTTTCAAAAATTTCATATCTTCTGTGAGAATCAAATATGTCTTTTTCCATTCCTAACAAAACTGATTCAAAATTCATCAAATATTATTCTCAAAGTGTTTAAAAATGTATAAATGTTTTAAAATTTTACGTTAACTTACAACAACTAAAATATTAGGTCATTAATGTGAATGTAAATATAGAGAAAAGAGAAATCTAGCCCAAGAGCAAAAGCTGTCAAAAGAGTATGACAGATCTCTGCTAAGTTAAATTGTATAGCTTCATGAAGCAGAACAGAAAACACAGACACAACCAAGAATGTATGTGCTTAATAAATTAAATATACTCCTCTCAAGTTGCTGAACCCATATTATATTCCTGCCATCAGTTTATATTTTGGAAATACATTAGTTCATATAACAGAATATGTTCTCATTCTTTTGAGTCTTACTTAGAATAGCAGAAAGACAAAAATGTTGACCCTGATTCATTATATAATGTCTGATAGTGAGAAGTGATTAAAAAGACATAAAAGAGGGTCAAGTGACAGAACATGGAGGGTTTCCAATTTAGAGATGGTGGTTACTGGTCAGGGAAGTCTTTTAATGGTAGAACAGAGATCTTTGAAAAGTAGACAGGGAACCCCAAAAATATCTTCAGGCAGAACATAGAGGCCTTCGGGGCCATATCAGTGGGAGATTGAGTCGAAGGGGTAACTAGGTAGAAAATATTATAGGAATGATGGATTTTATTCTAACTGTGATAGAAAGTCCCACAAAGCATTCTGTGTAGTACTTATTTTATTTGACCTTATGATTACAAGTCTTAGAAAGTAATTGGAAGTGTTCAAAAGGTCATTTAAAAAATTTTAAATTGAAAACAAGCTACAGAGTGGTTAAATGTATTTTTTTCTAGAGTTCCTACTATATGTTAAGCATTTTTCTCAAGCGCTATATAATTTTACCACCAAATCCTAAAGCGATTTAGATAATATATTGATGATACAATAATGTACCTTATTTTAATATGTAGTCAGACAATAAACTGACATTCAACTCTAAAAATGACCTTATAGAAATATAGTCAGTGTCTAATTACTTTTTTACTTTTTTATTCTGTAAGGTGTCTTGTTGCTAGCAAAACAGCAGATAGTAAGCTAAAAATAACCTATCCTCACTAAGTATCACAGCCAAAAAAATGAGTAGTTGCAAGGGGTTGAGGGCTAAAGGCTAAAGAGATGTGTGTAAAGGCTAAAGAGGTGTGTGTGTGTGTGTGTGTGTGCATGCAGGTGTTTGTACACACATTTTCTTTTCTATGTGGACATAGAAAAGCTGACAGTGTCTGAAAGAAATGACATCATAGTAGCAACAAGTGACCTAGAGTTCTGATCTTGGTTTCTAATACTACTCTGAAAAAAGAGGGCATAGTGTTTCTTGGAAAAATGGCTGATGCTATGACAGGCACAAGAAATGTTCTAGATGTGCCCTGAACATTTTGCAGTATGAAAGCACTATTTAAAGGGATAGAGGAGAGGACCTGAACAAATTTCTAATGGGCAAAACTGGAAAAATTTGGACACCAGAATAAAATAGCTTTGAATTATAGCTCAAAGTACAAAAAAAGTCACATACAAAGAAAAATCTAAAAACTATCACAGCCAAGAGGAACCAAGGGAAACGTGAAAACTAACAGCTATGTGGTATCCTGAATGAGATCTTGGACTAGAAATGTGATACTAGCTAAACACTTAGGAGACCTGAATCAACTAAGAACTTTAGCTCGTGACAATGTATTGATATTAATTGTGCCAAATGCCTCAGGTCAACGAATGATGTTAGTAATAAGGAAACTGGGTGTGAGGTATGAAAACTCTCTGTACTCTCTTAATTTTTCTCTAAATCTAAAACTGTTCACTCTCTTAATTTTTCTCTAAATCTAAAACTGTTCTAAAATAGTCTTTTTGAAATGTAATAAAATGGAAGAAACATCCTAAATATAATTATTAAATGAACACATTTTGATCAATTGTTGACTCTGAATATGATATGAAAAATGTATTTAATGTACATATCAAGTCAGTCAATTTGTGTTAAGTATTTCATTTAATCCATTTATGGGGAAGAAGAAAACTGAAAGTTTGGAAGACAACGTGATACCTTTTACATTGCTATCCATAGAAATATGAGTCTTCAAAATATTTAGATGCTCTGCTCAACAAGAGTTTTTAGTGACTTTGAGTTAAAATTTATCTGTGCTTGATGAGAATTTGACTTCATTTTGATTGTCCAAATTTTAAAGTAAAAATATTTGGTCCACATAATATAGTGACTGGTTCAGTTATTATTTGTACAGATACTTTTTTTTTGCAGTGATGGTCTTAATTTTGCATTTAAAGATATGCAAAATTAGGCCTTAGCATTTGTAAATCACACAGTAAAGTGAGACATTGATTAGCCATCATGGAACCAAACTTGTACAATTTAATGTCAAGGTGAATTTGGTTGTGGTACCATTTGTGTGTGTGTGTGTGTGTGTGTGTGTGTGTATGTCTGTCTGAATTCAGCTCCCAAAGTTAACCAGTGTGATAGTGAGTCCTTACAAGACATAGATATTCAGGCAATAGCAAAAGGATGAAAGAATTTTTTTCATATTTGGATCAAATGTAATGAGCAGATCTGACCTTTGTACAGCTCATTAGTGAGTATAGAAGTAAATACGCAACAAAGAACAGTGTATTTTAATTTGCAGTATTTTACCTCAGGGCATGCTCTGATGTTTTGGCTCATCTGAATATTGGATACAATTAAGAACATTCTCTTTGTTAAAAAATAAAAAAGTGACAATGATAAATGGATGCTTCAAATAATGGTGCATCACATTTGAGGTCCAATGAATAAAAAATGACTAGTAGAAGGAAAATTATGAAAGTGTTTCTGTTAGTAATTCTAACATCCAGACTACAGCTTCAAAAATTCAATATTTTCCATCAGGTCAAAGCAATGTTGATAACTTAAATTTTATCAATTGTTTTTATTTTATTGGTTAATTATTTTGGCCTTATGTCTTTTCTAAGAATCATAAGTGTAAAAGTTTATTATACATTTTAATTATTTAATTAATTATACATTTTAAACGTAATTGAAATAATAAATATTACAATGTTTTTTAAAGAACCGTGTTTTCAAAGGTAGTTGAAAATAATTCACAGTTGAGATGCATTAATAATAATTAGCACTAATAAGTGCTAATACTCCAGTTGAGGTGTTTTCAATTATAATTGATAAATATCAGGCCCTCACCCTACCTTAAAAAAATAACATTGCCTAATTGCTGAGAGATAAAAGGCATAAATTTATAGTTTCACTTCAAAGCTTTTCAAAACCTCACGTAAGACAGTTTAACTAGAGATATAAAATATTTACACTTGAGTTTCCCATCACGCAGTATAACTTTAAATTCACTTTCAAATCTCAAAGGCTCCACAGAGAGAAATAATATTAATGGAAAATTGCCTTCAGGATATACAATCCATCCATTCACGAGATCAGTGTCTCACATTCCCAGCTCTTCCCTAGAATCACCTAAAACACTTTAAAAGGCCATTGCCTTGGTCCATCTTGAGCTACAAATTCACTTAATTGGTTTAATATGGGACCTGATGTGGTGAATAAGTTCCTTTTTACAATACTAATTAAAAACCCAAACTGAGAACCACGGGAATGGAAATTCTAAAGCAGCGCATCTGACTATCACAGGGGGTGCTTTCAAAATACCGATGTAATTGTTAGGGGGGAAAGGATGTCCCAAAGCAAATTCCATATAGGCTTTGTGGACTCCACCCCCACCCCAGGTCAAAGCCAAAGACACTGGGAACTCCAAATCCCATCACCACCAAAGGGAAGGTGGCTGGGACCTGAGGGTGGGGTTAAGCAGCCAGGTGGATACAAAAAGGCAGACACCTGGGCTTTTGGGGGCTCTCCATTTTGGGCTCTCAGCCAGCTCGCAGCGTCCGGCCAGCTCTGAGAGTGACTTTGGGTTTCCAGGTCGTCGGATCGGGTAGGACGCATTAAAGACTTTATTTCCCTATTTTCTCCCTGAGTTGTACATTTTCCTTATTTCTTTTTCTCTTGTAAATAAACCTTTTATTAACCCTTTTGCGTGTGTCTGTAGTAGAGTATTCATAAGTCCCTTTAAAGCGCGCGGGTGAGGACCCACAGCCAGGAACCCGTTTAATATCGGGGTTGCTCTAT